ATCCTCCTCAATGTTAAACACTAGACCTTTAAAGTTTCGGGGTGTCCACAGATAATTCTCAGGTTATTTGTTACAATGAGCGACCACATTCACATTGCACATACACATTTGGTTTAATACAAATATGTTAATTATTGCAGCTTTTAATCATCAAAAAATTTGTGTGTGTGTGTGTGTGTGTGTTGTTGGATATACATCTACAAAATGCAGCTATTTGCTATTATAGTTTAAGTGTTTTAGGGTGAATCTTCCCTTTAAAGGTTTAAATCCCTCTGGAAGTTTATATAGTATCTTGTAATTTTGGTTGCACACCAATTACAAAGTGTCTTGAACACTTCCTGAGCACAGTAATCACACTGTGTTGTTGCACTGCTAATAGACAGCAGCATTTTAAATCTTGACCTCTTGCAGTCCTCGCTCTTGAACTCCACCTTTCACCTCACGCCAAGTTTGTCCAGTCGCTAAAATAGTCACAAAAGCCGAGGTGCTACCTCTGGTGTGTGTGGTCTGCTGTAATTCAGGATCGTGCATCGCTCGCGCGCACACACACAAGAAAACATTTTGGGATACAGCCACAGAGAAAGACAGTGTTTAGACTACCCACAATCCCCTCCTCCCCTCTGCTCGGCTGCACATCTCCTGCACTCAGAACATTGGCCAGTGCCCTCAGGATCGGTTCCCTCCCTGTGTGCTGCCTGTAGGACTGGGAACATTGTGAAATGTTTACTGTCATGATGAAAATAAATGTGCACGAGGACCTACAATGAAATAGTGCAACCCTGAAAGAAAGCTTTGATAATAATGTGAAGGGAGCAGTTATAGATGAGCCTGTCAACATGTGGCGTCAAGTCTCCAACTGTTAACAACGTACAGTATATTGAACATGTGTGCTGGACATTTTGTTCATTACAGTGTTATTAAAGCTGTAAAAAATGTTGATAAATGCCTTTGAAGCCCCCTCCAGAGTTGTGAGGAGGAATGTTATTGTTATAGCTACATACTGTAGATCTTTATTATTTTACTGTATGTCTTTCTTACACTTACCTTTTCAATGCTTGCCTCAGATTAAATCATAAAAAAGAGAGTTCACAAGATGACATTACTCTGTGTCCACACACTATTTTTTCCATATCTTCCCCATCTTTCCATGTTGGTCATACGAGTGCAAAGACTTCCTGCAGTGCACTGAAAAGCAGCAGTACATCAAGCCTTTTAAAGGACAATCTATAGTGCTTTGTGTTAGTGTTTCATTTCCCTTGCCTCACTCACTGGGCCTACTCAGACAGCAAGTGATAATGATGCACCTTACTCCATAATGAGTGTGAACACACGCGTCGCAGCAGTTGGAGGAGGAAGGGCGGAGTCGGCAGATGTGTCAACTGAGTGAGGTGATAACATGAGATTAAAACTAAATCTGTGAGATGAGAGAGAAAGTCGTCACCAGCACTTACTGCAGGCGCTTGCTTCACCAGTTACAACAGGAAAGAAGGCAGTAAGAGCTGGGTATGGTTGTTTAAATCCTGTTTTTCTCAGTTGATTTACTTGAGTAGACAAGGACAGGCTTGTTTACCTGACCTGAGACCAGCACGTGGTGTGTTAAGTTGGAGGAAAGTAACCTCAGTGGAACAGTTTAGACAGGACACCTCAGACGGTAGAAAAACCTCACTTAGAAAGCTCTCCTTGTGTAAACGGCAGAGACATGGGCCAGAGTGGACACAAGCAAATTAGTCCTGAACTGGAATAAAAAATTAGTGTCATTCCTCCCATAACACAACCCAAAGAGCAACATGTGATGTAAAAACAAAAATAAGATGACAAGCATATTCCTGGCAAACACTGTGTACTCAACAGAAGACGACATACAGTTTAACTTTATGCTGTAGTGGTAAGAATATCTGAGGGGGAAAACACTCCTAACACTGTACAAGTGTGCTCATCATATTTCTAACACTTTCTAATTAGGCAAAATAGATATGTCAGTTATAAGTCCTGGCTTTATAAGTCAGAAAATAATTTATATTAAAAATACAAATCAGTAATAAGCCATTAATAATGACCTTTGGTTTGTGGACACTTACATAGACATGTTAAAGTCCACATAAATCAGGGTGCTTTTTGCTTCTGCACATATTTACATTATTTCCTGTAAAATCAGGCAGCTAGGGAGCTCTATGGGATCCATTATCTGACTTTGCCGGGACTGGGAGCTCCCAGTAATCGGCATGGTCAGACCGGGCCTGAATGCAGCATCCGATGTCGACGGAGGACAGTTTAACGACAAGGAAGAAAGTGGTTTTTTTTGCCGGGTTTGGCTCCTGGTACCCCAGGTCTAACTCAGCCATTGTTAGCTACACGAGCTAACTAGTGAACAGTCCATCTGAAAACTCCATCAATCACTTAGGTCCCGCTGGCCTCTGTCGAACTGGCCTCGGTCTGTCTCTGAGGTTCTGTTCACTGGGAGGAGCAGGTAGCTGAGCTGAGCAGTCGGAGGACATTAGAGGAAAAAACAAACAGTTTCACCCAAATCACTGATAAAATTGTGCTTTTGTACAGTATCAGTGAGGCCCGGCCCTCCAGAAACACTCCATGCTGTTGCTAGCTTACTAATGAATCTTCACTGTGTTGCTAAAAGTTTGGGATTGATTGACAGGTAAGTGTCAGGATGTTATTGGTTGAAATCTGTGAATTCATGCTTACCTTAGCATGCGTCACATTTTGTTTTACAGTAAGAAGAAATTATTGGATTTCGATAAAAAAATACAAAGAAATTGAGTTTTTGTTTTGACATACTTTGTTAAATATGTTACAATATGACTGGATGTAATATTAAAGAGTTAAAAAGGAATTTTTCATTTAATCTGGACTTTAATTTTGTAAGTAACAGTGTGTTTTTCTACTATTACATTATATTATTATTACAAGTCAGAATATCTGCTGTGAAAAAAAAGGCCTTTTTTAGTTTAAAAAGCATCTTGCCAAAAGAGAACTGAGTTTTCAACACTGGCACTTACAGATACAGACGTTGTGTTGTTTCCTTTTTTAATATGATGATTTGAATAAGTAATTTTATGCGACAACTTTAAACATCAGCCTGACTGAAAATTTCCCCATCTCTTTTTCTTTTTGCGCAGGCGGGGGGGATTACATACAGTTTCCCTTTTCAGCAGTAGCTCTGGAGTTTCCAAGGTTTAATGGTCTTCCTAAATGATAAGACAGTGTTGTGTGTTCTACTTACAGATCATGTGCCGGCCACATGTACGCCGCAATGACATCACCCCGAGGCGACACGACAACACCATGCTAAAAGGGCCTCATTCACAACTGCTGTTTAAGTGGTGCTAAATAACGCCTGTGTAAGTTAAATAGAGGGTGTCTCAGCAACATAAGCTGTCCACCAACACACACAACTCCACATTCATTTCAGTGTAAGACTTTGCAAAAGCATTATATATGGAAAGTTATTACAGCGGTGCATCCAGTAGAGAGAGAGAGAGCGGATTAAGTAGAATGAGCTACCCAGGCCAGATTTAACCAGGAAGGAGAAGGGAGAATTTGTGGTGTTTGCAGAAGGATGTGCTGCTTCATATGCCGTACAAGGCAGGATTACTGTTAAGGTAGTACTCTGGCTTGTGTGGACACGCATTCTCCCCCTTTTCTTAACCGCAGACATACACTGATTGAAATACAAGCACCCTTCCCC